AAAATAGTTGCCAAGTATTCTCTTTTCCTTGTCACTGTCTCACATAAACTTTCATAGTTTCATGTATTAGTTTTGCTTTCTTCTTGCAGGTTATTTTATCTGTTAACAAGATTGATAAAAGTGAAGGAATAATCGAGAAGCTAGTAGCATATACAAATTTGATCAAAGACCCCTTTTGGTATGGTGAAGTTGTGTTCATCCTGATTCTCAGTCCAATGAAAACCATCCTACGGGATCATTGTAAGTCTCTTCTTCCGTTATGTAGTATCCATTTTTTCCATACAATTTTATCTCTTTAAGCTTTACATGATCATATTATTTTAAAAAGATTCGTTCGATGGGTAACACTTGTTTTTTCCCTTTTTCTCTTTACCAGATGAAGACCTCAGTAGGTACATTTATAATTTGGTTTGTGCCATCAATCAGAAGTACCGTTCAGAAGACTTTTTGCCAATTGAATGCAAGATATGGGAATAAAAATCTTTTTATTCGTATCCATCTAGAATCTAAACCCATTCAGACATCTTCCTGTGTTTCTTCTCATTTATTGCTTTAGATATCAACTGGCATGTCTTTGCAATACATCACTTGAGACCTGTAATAAGAATCGATTTTATGTATGTTAACTCTTTTCATGTGCTACACATAATGTTAAAGCCTGCCTGCCCACTCACCCACGCCAATGCAGCAGGCACTTCCCCTAGACATGTGCATGAACAACCATCCTGAAACTTATCTAGTGACATCAAATGATCAGTGATTATTTCTTCTTATTTCTTTTCTACCTTTCCACAGGAAGCGTGGGAGGTCAAACAAATAACTTCATTCTATATGCTAGCTGATATGTGTTTTTACCTGTTCATTGTTTAATATTTTATCCACCTCATTAATTTAATTTCCTTTTTATGGATTTGTATTTGGCTATGCCTCTAAGAGATGGGATGAATGTGACCGCGCTGGAATTTCTTGCAATGCAGTATCACAAGCAAAATAAAGGCAAAATTATTATGAGTCCAGTGAGTTTCAACTTTTTTTGAGATCATATTTCTTTTCCACTTGTCGTGCATAATTCTTCACTAGTCAAATTGTCTCTGTTGCAGTTTACTGCAGCTACTAAAATTACCGAATGATTCATTGATAATACTGTAAATCCTCGAAATGCTGAAGGTTTTGCTGAAATGATGAAAACCGAATTACAGTCTACAAGCATGTATGAGGAGGAGGCCTACAAATCATTGCGCAAGTATCGCCCGAGCAAATGGCTGAAACATTTTGTGAGCGCTCTGTGGGATGATCTACAGATTTTTAACTCACCAAGGGAGAAAGAATTTTTCCTCGTGAGACAGGTTCGAGGGAGAAATTCGAAGCTGACATTGGCCTACGTTTTTGAAGAGAATTGGGAACGAGCTCATTACGATATAGAAATCTTTCGAACTTTGGTTGCAAGTGACTTTAATAGCGTTCCATCTTCTCGTTAAATTTTGACACTCCGAGTCCACATCATCAAGAAACATAAAATATTGTACCGAAAAAGAAACCAGAAAAAGACAATTCCAAAGGTCTGTGTGATACAAAGCTATTTGCTTGCACTATCTCTCTTAAACTGTATGGAAAGAAGACGTATTGGAAGTCTTTCTCCTCCTTACTCCCCTCAGATCAAAATCCATCATCATCCTCTATTTTTATGAGCCCCCTATTCAGTTCCTTATATAAAGCCACATAGCGATCGACAGAAAGAAATCTTTTCAATGTTTTCATAATTTGAAGGATATATTTATCTCGATAAAGACCTCTATCTGGTCTTGGGAAGTCACTTGCGACCAAAGTTCGAAAGATTTCTATATCCTTATGAGCTCGTTCCTAATTCTCTTCAAAAACGTAGGCCAATGTCAGCTTCGAATTTCTACCTAAAACATTGTAAAGATTTATTTCTGTCGATCGCTATGTGGTTTTATATAAGGAACTAAACGGGAGGCTCATAAAAATAGAGGATGATGAGGGATTTTGATCTGAGGGGAGTAAGGAGGAGAAAGACTTCCAATACGTCTTCTTTCCATAGTTTTGTATCAGACAGATCTTTGGAATTATCTTTTTCTGGTTTCTTTTTCGGTATAATATTTTAGGTTTTTTTGATGATGTGGACTCGGAGTGTCAAAATTTAACGGGAAGATCCGCTATTAAAGTCACTTGCAACCAAAGTTCGAAAGATTTCTATATCGTGATGAGCTCGTTCCCAATTCTCTTCAAAAACGTAGGCCAATGTCAGCTTCGAATTTCTCCCTCGAACCTATCCCACGAGGAAAAATTCTTTCTCCCTTGGTGAGTTAAAAATCTGCAGATCATCCCACAGAGCGCTCACAAAATGTTTCAGTCATTTGCTCGGGCGATACTTGCGCAAGGATATGTAGGCCTCCTCCTCATACATGCTTGTAGGCTGTAATTCGGTTTTCATCATTTCAGCAAAGCCTTCAGCATTTCGAGGATTTACAATATTATCAATGAACCCTTCGGTAATTTTAGTAGCTGCAGTAAACTGCAACAGAGACAATTTGACTAGTGAAGAATTATGCACGACAAGTGGAAAAGAAATATGATCTCAAAAAAAGTTGAAACTCACTGGACTCATAATAATTTTGCCTTTATTTTGCTTGTGATACTGCATTGCAAGAAATTCCAGCGCGGTCACATTCATCCCATCTCTTAGAGGCATAGCCAAATACAAATCTATATAAAGGAGATTAAATTAATGAGGTGGATAAAATATTAAACAATGAATAGGTAATAACACATATCAGTTAGCATATAGAATGAAGCTATTTGTTTGACCTCCCACGCTTCCTGTGGAAAGGTAGAAAAGAAATAAAAAGAAATAATCACTGATCATTTGATGTCACTAGATAAGTTTCAGGATGATTGTTCATGCACATGTCTAGGGGAAGTGCCTGCTGCATTGGCATGGGTGAGTGGGCAGGCAGGCTTTAACATTATGTGTAGCACATGCAAAGAGTTGACATACATAAAATCGATTCTTATTACAGGTCTCAAGTGATGTATTGCAAAGACATGCCAGTTGATATCTAAAGCAATAAATGAGAAGAAACACAGGAAGAGGTCTGAATGGGTTTAGATTCTAGATGGATACGAATAAAAAGATTTTTATTCCCATACCTTGCATTCAATTGGCAAAAAGTCTTCTGAACGGTACTTCTGGTTGATGGCACAAACCAAATTATAAATGTATCTACTGAGGTCTTCATCTGGTAAAGAGAAAAAGGAAAAAAAACGAGTGTTACCCATTGAACGAATCTTTTTAAAATAATATGATCATGTAAAGCTTAAAGAGATAAAATTGTATGGAAAAAATGGATACTACATAACGGAAGAAGAGACTTACAATGATCCCGTAGGATGGTTTTCATTGGACTGAGAATCAGGATGAACACAACTTCACCATACCAAAAGGGGTCTTTGATCAAATTTGTATATGCTACTAGCTTCTCGATTATTCCTTCACTTTTATCAATCTTGTTAACAGATAAAATAACCTGCAAGAAGAAAGCAAAACTAATACATGAAACTATGAAAGTTTATGTGAGACAGTGACAAGGAAAAGAGAATACTTGGCAACTATTTTTA